AGTTTATTAAGTTGTTGCCAAGTTTGACTGTATAGCCTGAATAGGATTTTGCGTCTCGGGTTGTGCACCAGCTCGCATCAGTACTTATTGTGATATTGTTGTCTTTTGACTTATATGCCAACATGTTATCTCTTGTTCCCTTCAGATATCTATAAATCCTTTTAACTCCAGTTAAGTGTATTTCTCTTGGATCATTACTATACTGTGATAAATTGCTGACGTTGAAGGATATGTCCGGTCGAGTACCCGTAGAGAGGTACATTAGTGATCCAATCATTTCCTGGTATACAGTTTTATCTACTGGCTTAGAGTCCAAATATTCATCCAAATTTTGATTTTGATCTCCAGGTGTCTGCACACTGTTGCATTCTTCCAGTCCAAATCTGTGAAGAATTGTATCAATATAATGAGTCTGAGATAGATAAAATCCATCTTCTTCCCTTTTTATTTCAATTCCAATAAATGGTTCGCTATCTTTCTTTTCTGTTAGAGTAACATATTTTTCTATTTCTGAGGCTAGGTTGTCATTAATTTCCTTACTAGTTCCAGCAATGATGAGATCATCTACATATAGACCCAGTATTGCATACTCTTCTCCTCTCTGGAGTTTATAGACACATGGATCACATTTGGTTCTAATCATTCCCAACTGGTATAAAATTTCATTGATCTTTTTGTTCCAACATTTTCCTGATTGTGGTAGACCATACAGGCTTTTTTCCAATTTACACACTTTGTTTTCTTCTCCTTTTTGTATAAAACCATCTGGTTGTCTCATGTATACTGTCTCCTTTAACTCACCATAGAGATAAGCTGTCTTCACATCATAAGTATTTATGGTTAAATTCTGTTGTGTTGCAAGAGCTACTATTGTTCGCAAGCTTTCCTTTTTGAGTACAGGTGAAAAAGATTCCTTATAGTCCACACCATATCTTTGATTGCATCCAACAGCAACCAGTCTGGCCTTTCGTTTATATATGCCGTCACTTGGTGTTTTCTTCGTACTGTAGACCCATTTACTATTGATGACTTTCATACCATTTTCCCTTGGTACTAGTGTCCATACTTTATGTTTCTCTATCTCACTGAGCTCATCTTCCATTGCTTTGTGCCATTCATTTCTTTCTCCACTATCCATTGCTTCTTTAAAGTTCTCCGGAATATAATGATCAATTTCCATAATTAAGTTTGCATTATTCCTATCCTTTATTCTTTGTGAGCGTCGAACTCCTTCTTCAATCAATTTCCTTTCTTGTTCTTCAAGTCTTGCTTTGTGCCGTTCTTCTAAGATGCTCTTTGTTTCTCCTTTCTTTCTTCCTCCTTTTACACATCTTTCCTGTATCAGTTCAGTTTGTGATGAGTCATTTTCACAGTCACCACCTAGTTTTACTGAAGTATCCTCCTGAGACTTCATTTTACTCTCTGTGACAGGATTGTCTTTTTTCAAGATAAGAAAGTCTTCAGCAACTATTTCTTCACAATTTCCTTTATAGGTCAAATTATCACAATTAGTATCTTCCTGAATATCATTTGCATAATCAATTCCTCTCTTATCTTCACTAAATTTTACTGATCTGACTTCATGGATTCTCTTTGTCATTATATCATATATTCTGTAGGCTTTTCTTTTAATGGAATAACCAATAAATATTCCCTTTCTACCCTTTGGTGAAAACTTGTTTCTTCTTGGTTTGCTCTCAAGCCAATGTGTCAAACATCCAAATATTCGAATGTGTTTGACCGATGGTTTCCTGCCATTCCATCTCTGCATAGGTGTATTTTGCTTGATAGACCTGTGGGGTGTACAATTCTTAATGTATGTAGCTGTAGCAATTGCCTCTGCCCAAAACATCATGGGTAATTTTGAGTCAATTAGTAAGGTTCTCGCTGTATCTATAAGAGTCCTATTCACTCTCTCTGCGACTCCATTACTTTGTGGTGAGTATGTTGTGGTGAGTTGGTGATGGATCCCACTTCTCTTGAAAAGTCCTTCAAATCTAGAGTTACAAAATTCAGTTCCATTGTCCGTTCTTACATCTTTTATTCTAAGACTTAATTCGTTTTCGGCTCTTGCTTTAAATTCTTCAAATCTTTCAAAGGTCTCATCTTTTGATCTCAGGAAATATACAAAGATTCTTCTACTGTAATCATCTACTATAACAAGGAAATACTTAGATCCTCCTAAAGATTGACATGGCATTGGTCCACATAAATCCATATGAATCAACTGCAGGGGCTTAACTGTATAATTTTCTGTAATATTATATGGCTTCTGCACCAGTTTTCCCATTATGCATGCTTCGCACTCTGGTAACCTTTCGAATTTTAGATCCAATCCTCTTACAATATGTCCTTGAATCATTTTTTTCATGTATTCTTCATTTATATGGTTTAATCTCTTATGCCATAAACTTATATTGCTATTTTTATTTGATAAATGTGTATTTATAACCATGACATTTTCATTTTTTGCTATTGGTACATTTCTTTGTTTTGTTTCCATCATAAACATTCTATCTTTAATATATGCTTCAGCAACTAAATCATTCCCTTCATTATAAATTTTTGCTCCATCCTTATTGAAAATAACTGAATTTCCCTTGTTGACTAATTCGTATACTGACAAGAAATTATTCCTTAAACTTGGTACATGTAAGATATCTTTGATGCGAATATTTTCTTGGCCTTCACTTGTGCATGTAGTAAGTCTCATATCTCCTTTGGCTATGGCTTGGGTAGTTTTGCCCTTTTCAGCTAGGTTGATTTCACTTTCATAATCTACCACATTTTCCATCAAAGTTAGGTTTGGGGTTAAATGTGCGGTGCATCCTGAATCTATACACCATATTTGTCTATCATTTCTCTCATCTGGTGAATCTTCAAATTCTTTTACATATGTTTCAAATGCTTGCTCATTAATTCCACTTTTCATAGTATCCACTAGGTTATTTGAATGTTCCCTACTGTATTTGTGATTTCTATCACCAGGAGTCCATTTCTTTTGGTATCCTTGTTTCTGTTTATCTCGAAACCAGCAATCATTAGCTAGATGTCCCTTTTTATTACAAACAAAACATCTTTTTGGCTGAAATTGTTGGACTTTTCTATTTTTAATTCTGTGTGCTTGTTCATGCCCATTCTCAACCGATTGATTTAATCTCATATTTCTTCTTGACTCCTCTTCTCTTAGAGTTTGTTGAATCTCTTCAATTGTTGCCTCTCTCTTTGATCGTAAGACAATAGCAATATTTTCATACCTTGGATGTATGCCTCTGACAATATGAAATGAAAGTTCTCTTGAGGTAAATTGATGCCCTAATGATGAACTTCTAGCAGCAATATTTTTTGCCCTTGTTATATATTCATCTACAGTTTCATTATCTTTCATTCTAATGTTCTTTAATTCTAAGCCTATATCAATAATTTTATCTTCCAAATTGCCTGTGTATGTTTTTCTCAGTGAGTCCCATACTTTCTTAGCATTTGTTTCTCCTATGAACATTCCAGCTTGTTCATTTGTCAACGTAGTGATGATTATCCCAAAAGCTTCATCATTTTTATCACTCCAAATCTCCCAAGAACTTTTGTCTTCCATATCAGGTTCTGGATCTGAAATTACACATTTAAATAATTTTCTTCCTCTCAGAACTGCGCCGATTTTCAACGCCCATATTTGATAATTATTTCCTGTTAATGGTTCAATTTTTGTTTGGGATAAAACATTATATTCAGCCATTTTCGTCTTTTGAGCTAATATAAACAAACCAATATATAATTTAAAACAAATATATATTTTAAATTTATTTAAATATTGGGTAGCTTTTAAACATGCAATATATAGATATAATTTAACTTAATCTATATAAATACCTTTATTCTTCTTATAAGTGCTTGAGTTTACCGATCAGAATAAACTTCTTGCTTAATCTTCAGATTAAATATTTTCGTTTTTGAGCTTTATATCAATAAACCACCATCTGCTACCAATTGTTGACTTTGCTTAGTATTATTAATGAAACTGATTCCAATAATTATTAATTAAACATTATATTTATTGATTAACAAGAGAGATATAATATAAAAGGGAAACTTATATTGAAAACAAAGGAACTCTTTCTTCTTGTTTTTTAGCGCCTATTTACCCGTGAGCTTACACACACTCTGTCGTAACAAATAATTAAAATATGTACAACAAATTTACATCTGATGTTGGCACTGGTGAACTCTGACTCTGGTAAGTTACACATTGTTGATATAGCATTATCCCAGTCCTCGGGCATTCCACAAAGAATTAGCATGCTTAGATCACCGTCTTCAATTTTATCCCCTACACCTGTGAGTTCACTCACTATTAGATTTATGCTTCCCAAATAGGCATCCATGTTCGCATGTTGACAGAATTTCTGGGAGTACAACTTTCGACGCAGTTGGAGAATTCTGTGTTTGCTATCCCTGGGTGCATAAAGTCTTTGTAATTCATCCCAAACTTCTTTGGGGGGAATTTAGATGTCTGATATGGTTTTGCTGCTCCTCACCAATAGAGAGACATATCTTTGCTAAAGCCTTATTCTGCCTCGTATTAAATTTGTTGATTAGACCAACATCCCCTCCCTCGGGTTTGACTTCGCCTGGGTCAACAATTGACCATAAGTCATTGTCCATCAGAATGAGCTTAATTTGGAAGCTCCATGAGGAATAGTTTAATCCATTTAGCTTGGTAATTTTCGTTAAACTTTCGTTAGCTTCCATTATAAGATGACGTTCACTGAAGGGGGGGAGAGAAAACAAAAATAGGCTTACCGTTCAATGCTTCAGGCAGCTCCAATCAGTCTCATAATCTTTTCTTGTAGGGGTGTAGACAAGGTACTTGGTTACACTTAGGACAAGAGCCTTGCACTAACTAATTTATTAAAGCATAGGTGATATAAAGATTAAAAAGGAAAGAAAGGAAACAAAGAGGTTACATCCTCCGGTAAACAAGCAACAGCGTTGTCAGTCTAAACATTTACAGTCAGTTGGAGGTGGGGGTGCCGACGTCATCCTTCCGGTCACGTGTTATACATGAGTGGCAGCGCTGGTGTCCAACAGAAATGTCGCTATTTCTCTTTGAAAATAAATTTCGATTTTTAAAAGAAACATTCGCTGTATAATTTTAATTTTCGTTTTACAATCATCAGCCGCGTTATATTGTAGTTTAATCTACCATACCGCTGTTATATTGCATGACAATGGTTATAGCTAATTGACCAAATGGGATGGCCTTCTAGCTCTACTACTGGCTGAAATGAATCAGACTGACCACGGCAAAGGGTGCAGGTAACTTGGGGAGATACAGCAACATCGCAATATCCCCCGCGACAACACCCAAGGAATCACCAAGCCCGCCACCCAACGCAACGCGCGCAGGGGCGGTGCGAAACGCATCTCCAGCCCCATCCGCGACGAGACGCGCGGCGCCCCCAAGGCGCCCCTGGAGAGTGTGACGCGTGCTAATGCTCTAAGAACATAGGTGAGTATCCCTGGGTCAGAGGGAAAGAGAGGAAGAGGTTTCAAGTTAAGAAAGGTGGGCAATTGTGAAAAACAGTGAAAAGGGAGCGGAAGAGAAGAAAGAAAAAATAAAAATAAAATAAAAATATAAATAAAAATGAATGAGGTGAATTAAAAAAAAAAGAAAATAAATACTAATAATAATAAAATAATAAAAATAAAAAAATAACAAAATTGAACAAATAAATCTAGGAGATAAGTAAAATAAAAAAAAATAAAAGAAAATAATAATATTAATAAAACAAAAAATAATAATTAAAATTAAAAAATAAAATATTTTAATAATAATATTAAGAATAAAAATAAAATAAAGAATTAAAAGAAAGAAAAAAGATTTAGAAGAGGACAGGATAGAAAAAAAAAAGTGATGAAGAGAAGAAAACACAGCGCCTGGGGATGTTGGTGTAGAACAAGCACAAAAAAAAAAAGGACCTTATCAAAGGAGCCAGAACATTTTTTTCTTTTGAGGAGAAAGTAATTTCAGAGTACAAAATCTGGAAGTACTAAATCGCATCTTTTGCCAACCAATGAAAATGAGCGGCCGTCAAATCACAAAACCCCGGTTGTGACGTCGCGCGATTAATCGACCAATCAGCGTGCGGCGTCCAATTTCAACCGCGGCCCTCTAACCCTTGGGTGATTAGAGACGGCGCTTGGTGAAATCCCGTCCACAAGCCAGTTGGCAAATTAAAAGTTTGACATCGCATACAAAATTAGTGATACACGCATATGCAGGTAAAACACTGATGTAAAGTTTAGGTGGAATTAGAGTCGGGAACCTCCTCTGATTCCACCTCTCGGATCCGCGGTCTCAGCCTGTCGCAAGCCAGGAGAAAATCGATACAGGCTCGCCAGGTTAAACAACTGTGGGTGAAGTCGCGGAGCGCCCTCGGCGTGTAACCGAGTTCCCTCCCCGCTATAAAAAATAGAGAGTTCTGAGGGAGCCCAGACTGTCACACTCGAGCATGATATGTTCCAGAGTTTCTTCCTCTCCAGAGTCACAGAAAGGGCAGATAGGATCATCAATATGTCCAAGTCTGTGAGCAAAGCTGTCTGTCCATGTGTGTCCAGTCAGCAGGCCAATCACGGCGTGGACACTAGGAACGATGTACGCATGTTTTTTGTCCAAGAGACTCATGGGAGAGAGGCCAAAGCGGGTGAAGATTGTGCGCTCGGCGGAGCTGAACCTGGCCTGCCAAGCTGCCCACGCCCGCTTGTAGATTGTCGATTTAAGTTTCGACAGCGGTGCGAGGCGATAGCAGCTCGGGAGATCAGATTCCGCCCCGCGTTTCGCGAGCACATCAGCTACCTCATTACCAAAAATCCCTCTGTGGCCTTTGATCCATTGTATGGTACATCTGTTCCCATTGCGGTTCAGTTGTGAAATCAGCAACAAGGCTCTGTTGACCAGGAGGTTGCCAGTTCTGGAGTTTAGAACGGATTTCACAACTGAGAGGTTATCCAGGAGAATTTCAATGGTGTAATTGTCGGGAAGCTTTGAGGCGTCCTCAAGTGCTTTAAGCAAGCCAAGTGCCTCCGCTTGGAAGACAGAACAGTACGAGGACAGGACAAAGCTTTCACGCAGTTCATTCATGGAGCCATTCGCACACACTCTAAATAGGCCTGTGCCAACTCCAGTTTTCGTCTTGGAACCATCTGTGTAGTAGGTGACGTCAGCCGAAAGATCAGGAATATTAATGGGAGCGGAGTAATAGGGAGGATAGGGAAGTGGGTGAGGGCAGGGGGGAGGCTCGACTGGAAAATCAGCGTCAACAAAACTGTGCTTTTTAAAATACAATTCCGCCTTGGCGCCGACATCCAGATCGAGAGGGAGAACACGTGAAAGAGAGATGAGAGAGCTATTTGCAGTTGTTTTAAACGCGCGGCATGTCCTGATGAGGAACGGGCGCTGCGCGCTTAAGAGAGTGTTTAAGGAGCGTTGTTTAAGATTAGAAAACCACACAGGAGAAGCGTAAGAGATGGCTGGGACCACGACCTGGAGATAGAGCATCCTCAGGGCACGGAAACCAAAGCCAAAATTGGAGTTGGCGGCTGCTGTCAAACGCGGGAGAAATCCGCGGACTCTGGTGCAAACCTCAACCACATGCTGGTGGAAGGTGAGACGCTGATCAAACCTTACGCCCAGCACTTTGATTGAGTCGCTCCATTGAATGGGTTGACCATTAATGGTTAGATCGCAGCTAGGCTTTAGTAGTCTGCCAGTACGTCTTAGAAGGAGCATGGCCTGACACTTCCTCACGCTGAGTTCCAGTTTATGCAGGCCACACCACCTCGTGATCTCGTTAATGGCAAGTTGCGCCGCTCCAAGTTGATTAGTAACTTGGCCCGACACCACCATAACAAGATCGTCGGCGTAGGCCTGCGGGTGTACACATTTTTTAAAGTTGAGCGTGAGGAGCTCGTCAAAGACAAGGTTCCAAAGAAACGGCCCAAGAACTGAGCCCTGCGGGCAGCCTTTGGAAACCTGCCTCGTGACCGTGCAACCATTCATAGACAGTCTGACAACACGGTTATTGAGGAAGAAGCGAATCAGGACAAACAGGTTTTTTGGACAATCATTCATACACAGAGCTCGCAATATGCTGGAGTGTAGCACATTGTCAAAAGCGCCTTTCACATCAAAGGAAAGAAGAATAGAAGATTTTCTATGCTGAAGCGACCGGGAGAGATTATTTTTTAAATTTAGAAGTGCGGCGACAGTAGATCTGCAGGGCCTGAAACCGAACTGGTTTGGTTGGGCTTTACACATTCTCTCAGCTCGCCACGAGAGCCTGGCCAGGATTAGACGCTCTAGAATTTTACCTAAGCCAGGCAGCATCGTGATGGGCCGATGAGACGCGAGAAAGTCCTCACCACCTTTTTTGGGAATGAGTATGACATCACCCAGTTTCCAAGGAGTTGGAAAATGTCCAGTTTCAAAGCACCTATTAAAGATCTTTAAAAAAAACGTCGGGAGTTTTTTAATTAATTTAACAATGAGAAGAGGTGGCATACCATCACTGCCAGGAGCAGAAGTTAGGCTAACCTTATCCGCAGCCAGTAGCAGTTCTATTTCTGAGAACGGTGGGTCGTTATCAGAGGTGGACTGCACGGCTTTATGTAAGTTAACATGCTCTACTGTTATATCGGGCGGGACACGGCCGAAGTAATGTTTTAATACGTGTTCTAGAGTGTCCCGCGGACTGTCAGTGAGATCATCGCCAACCAGGAGAGAGGCTTCCTCTTAGTGGAGCCTTTAATAAATTTATAAACGCCGCCCCAGGGGCTAACCTCACAAAGCGAACAGATCCTTCTCCATTCAGCAGACTTCGCGTGTCTGATAGAGGTGCGAAATCTATTATATAATTTCTTATAAAATATCTTTAACACGCTTCTAACAGGCCCACGAGCTTTTCTCCAGGCCCGTTCAGCTTTTTGAGTAACCTTTTGGAGCGGATTTAGTTCAGGTTTCCACCAAGTGGGTTTCTTAAAAAAAAAATTATTGGCGGCAGGTTTAGAGGGAATGGTTTGTAGACACGAGTGAAACACCTCGTCTTTTAGTAAATTAATTACTTCATCAACTTGAGTTGTGTCACTCGCGTCCAGTAAGGAGGAAATTCTAAAAATTTTTTTTTTAAAGCTAGAAAAAAAATTCCTAATCAGCGCGACCAAAGCTGAAGTGTACTTCTCTAAAGTTGTTTATGATGCTTGACTCTTCGAATGGGTATTTTAGATGAACTATGGACGTAAGCTTTTAGGACAGAAGAATTACATATAATTATAAATATATAATAAGCTTCGAGCAATCGCTCTTCCGCAAATATCAATTTGTGTCTTTTATTCGAACAATTATATTTCGATGCACTAGCGCGCCATCTGTTATCAAATTACAAAACTATTTTGGACGCGTAATATTCTTTTAAAAATAAAACAATTTCTAATGCCCTTACTTGCGATTATTATCATTATATTACTTTATTTATTTATTTTAGATTATAATTTTATTATTATATATATTTATTTATTTCTCTCTCAAAGATCATAGTCTTTGACGAGTCTAATATTTGTTTTTAACTCGTGCTTTAGATGTTGTACTAAATTCGAAAAATCACGTGAGAACGCCCTTGCAACCTCAGAACAATTTTTAACGCCTTGCCAAATGTTTTATTTTTATTTACTTCTCCTGACGAAGACAAAATATTTTTGTCGAAACGTTGAGAAAAAAAAAAAAAACACTAACTGGCCGAAGTGTCTATTTTTCACAGAAATATGAATGCCGGTCAGGCAACCCCTATCTTAACGATATCTCCAGATTGCCTTTCAGGCACATAACCCCAGTTTCATTTTAGATATGTTCATTGATTTCATTATTTTTAGTGATAGTTTTTATTTGATGTGTTTGTTTTGTGTGTGTGGAATTTTAACCAGATTATAATTGTAGTTTCATAAAAATGTATATATGTGCGTTTGTGTGTGAATACTTGTTTATATTATGCCGTTTTTTCATTTTTATTTTGTACATATATTACAGTGTTGTCCGTCTAAAAGTATTTCAAGATCATTGATTTACTATTCTTCTTTTTTTTCCAACACTGTCTAGTTTAGAAGTGTTAGAAAGGTTCTTATGTGGGTTTCCTAAATAACTTTATTATATTCAGTATTTCTCTTTTTAGAGAACTATATATACTTACATTTAAGCATGAATTAGTATTTAAGCATATTAAATTAGTAAAATCGCTGAGAGGGTTTACAACTGATGAGCCAAGCCCTCCAAATGTTGTCTATTTCAATAGGGTCTACTGCAATATGGTACCTATGGCCCTTCGAGGGACTTTGACACCCGAGGACTTATGAAACAGTTCACTAATGCCTTTCCTAAATATCGGGAATGGGTTTCAGAGGTAATTCTCATTTCTGAAACTGCCAGAAGCCAAGTTGCCGCGACATTTCAAAACCGATCCCCTCTTTTCTGAAACAATGGAAGACGTGGGATTCTTTTGGGGATAAATGCACAGGTTTCTGGACAAAACTCTTCCCCCTCTCTACAAAACCTTTGTGCTGTGCCAAGCACAGCGTGAATGTTTCTTACACTCCTACTGAAGTATCAGTCCAGAGCATTGTCGAAGATTCTACCATCAGGTGATACCGAGATACGGGAAACAGAAAGGGAAAACATTCAAAGAGGAGAGTCAAAGAGGCTTCGCAGACAAAGATAATAGAAATCCAGTGTTATATATACTTATCCCCCGATTTACACGGTACTTGTTTTACACGTTTTCGCTTTTCCACGGTTTTCCAAATAAGTTTTTTTTTTTTTTGTTTTTATCGCATTATACTAAATGCTACTGTGATTGAACACACGCGCTGTGTACACATCTCACGAGGAATCTCGAGCTTATGTGCTGACTACATATTTTAACCTGTCAATGCATTTTATTTTTATTTCTGTGTATACCTATCCCCCGATTTACACGTTTTTCTCAGGAACGTATCTACCGTGTAAATCGGGGGATAGGTGTATAAATAATTATTTAAATAGTTTTTGATTATTTTTACAATTAAAAGAAAAAGTATGCACATCTATGAAATAAAGTTAAGATTTTTTTTTATCGCAGTTGTAATTTTTTCTGTAAGTCCTTATATTAAAAAAAGGGGGGGGGGGGGATGGAGGTTATTTTAAAAATATTTTATTTAACTTGCTTCCCCATGTCTGCTTGTTCACAAATCTTGTGTGATCGAGTTTTAATATATTTTCAAAGCACCTATAACAAGCAAAAAACTGGTAAAATTTAAGATAAATATTTATTTAATATGGATTTTCTATGATAATTCATAATCTGTTTTGAATATCATCATCATATATATTCGTTATATCATCATTACCAAATTCTCCTTGTGTATATACTCTATCTTATGAGAACTTTGTTAAGTTTAGAACTATTTGTACAATAATTTGCAAAACACTACTAATCCATCGTGTAAATAATTAATCATATATATGTAAATAATACTGGCACAGCACAATAGTGTTTTGGACTTCCTGCTTTTGTAACAATAAATTAAATTTTAAAAAATCATCTAAAATGTCAAAAATAACCTAGCGCTCTCTATCGCTGAAAATTACAAACATATTTTAACGCTACTTTTCTTCTAAAATATAAATAATTAAAATTTATTTCTACAGCCTCCTTATCCTACGATGAATACAAATTGAAAGAGGGAGAGTATGGCACATCAGGAGTGAATCCCTCCCAGCGGTTTCGACATTTTAATTTCACTTCACTTTGGTGTTCAAAACACCAATTTACTGAATGGCGAAACCGCTGGGAGGTCTCACCACTGATGAGCCATACCCTCCCTCTTTCAATTTTATATTCATTAAAGTCTGTAGAAATAAGTTCAAATCATATATTTTAGAATAAAAGTAGAATTTCCACATATCACATCATCTCTATACTTCGATGTCGGCGCACCAACTCGGGGTTTGTCAGACGTGGAGAGTTCTCTAATCACTGTCTGTGGCGGAACGCTCAGATTGAAATCTCTCGACTGGTGTGAGACAGAACGACCAAGACATAACCGAGTTACCGGCGGATAAAAGAAACTTTATAACAAACTAGCCGAATGACCCGGGCAACGCCCGGGTTTTACCCGATTAAATGTTTTTATTCAAATACTATTCGTTACAATTATAAATTGGCGCCGTGGATGTCACTCTTGTGAAACGTCCCGCTCCAAACTTTGTGTCTGAGAAGCGATATTTTTATAGAAAGATGATCTGGCTTTTGTTTTCTGCTCGAATGAATGTTTTTCTGTTAGAATTTTGTTCCTGCGTACAAAATAATGAACTGGTTTCACCCGTGGTCTCTGCTTTTTGGAATTTTTCCCGATATAATTATGTATCTAATAATCAAACATGATACAGCAATATCGTCATCATCATTTTCTGAATAAAAATATATAGTTTTAATAATTGATTTATATATTTTTTAAAATAGCCTATCGTCTTCCCCGTATTTTTTTACCTATGTATGGAAATTTTGGTTTGAATTAGTGAACTACTGCGAATTTGTATACCGGACATACAGACAGACAAACAAACAGACAAACATACAAACATTCATTTTTATATATATAGATATCCATTTGGAAAATAGTAAAAAGGTGAAAATGTACTGGAATCAGATGGATAAATTAAGAAAAAAAGCATCTCCTAATCTAAGTTTCTGATGGCTTGCGCCATCTGTCGGAATAAATACAAACTAAATTGATTTTTAATTATTCCAGAATTGGCCAAATATCCTTTCCTGATTAATCAAGAAAAGCTAACCACATACACGTTTCGGGCTGTTGGCCCGGCTCTCATCAGCGTGATGCTTATTCCGACAGATGGCGCAAGCAATCAGCAACTTTTAGCTGCACGATCTGGAGATGCCTTGAAATATCCATTTATGACATAACATAATACCAAACGAGACTCACTCCTCACTTTCTTACTGCTACTCTTTTTGTGTTGATTTCTTGCTTCCCTCTTTCTTATTATTATTTTTTTCCTTTTCTTGTGTTTTTTTTTTCTTTCTCTTTTTACTCTGTATATATCGTTATTTCCTTTGTCTCACTGCTTTGTTCTTATGCATACCTCTGGTGAATCCTGTATAGGGTCAGTGACCCTAAATAAAGGCTTTTTTGTTGTTGTTGTTGTATAATACCAAACGAGAAGATTCAAAATTCTTCCTCTGTAATAAAGAGAAATTGGGCCGATCAAATAGAGGCCTCGGAAATGGAATTCGCCTCTGTATGGATCAAAGAGCCTGAAGGTTTCAAAAGGAAAGATAACTCCAAAGAAAATCCTGAGAAGATTCAAAAGGCTGATACCATTCCAGCAAAGCCGCCTCAACCATCAAGAAGGGCGACAAGAGACGCTGTGACACAGCTGACAGCAGCAGGTCCTGAGCAAGGCCAGGTCAGCGTCCTTTCACCAATGATGCCACATCGAGTACTACGCTATCTTCAATCCAGTGCAGTACATCAAGACACTGGAGGATATCCTGGGAAAGGGCGCGGTCTTGCAGCTGATGAATATGTCTGGTCATGTTCTGGTCGAGCTTGAAAGTATCAAGAAAGCGGATCGTCTATCTGAGGAAGCTTCACCAATGGGAACACCCTCCTCAAAGTATCCCCTACAGGAACCGCGCGGAGAATATAGTGATTGGGACCTCCCAATTTCTGTTAGGAATAAAGACGTCGTCGCGGTCTTACTGCGGTCTGACTGTCCCCGGCGGTACGCCTATAGTCGCGTCAGACTTCTTTGGGTGGATGAAGTAGGCGGTGATGTTGCAACCTCCAATGCCACAGGTTCTCTTTCTCCTGCATTCTGTCATCCGGTGTCCAGGGTGTAAGCATAGGATGCTGAGTTTCTTCCTGGTCTCAATGTCGTAGTCGGCGTTCCTGACAGTCTGGTGTCCGTCTTTCAGGCATACGCTACACTTCAGCCAGCTCCCTTCCCCTCTGTTGGCCTTTTCGTCAATATACACGAAGTATCCATGCTCAATTTTCTGCCTCCCTTCATTATTGGGGTGAGACAGGCTGTGCTGGCTGCAGAATATCCAGGCGCAGATGTTTCCAAGACTGCCTGAAAGGTTCGCTGTTCGTCGGTTTGATTGTCAGCGGCTCTGTTGGAAAAATGGTCCATGCGACCTTAGGATTCTCCAAATGGAGTAGCCTAAGTTTTCCTGTAAGGGTGGCGTTTAGGCGTTCACCTAGACCGTTGGCTTGTGGATTATTGCTGGTGGTGAGCAACGGGTGGATACTCCTGTTAAGCAGGAAGCTCCTAAATCTCGGCGAAGTGAATGCAGGGGCTCTATCCGTAAGAAGGCGTTTCGGGGAGCCATCCTGTAATACTCGCTTGAGCACCTGTTGATAGGTAAAAATGCTGGTGGATTTGGACGGGAACGTCCATGTGTAGCGCGAGAAATGGTCGACTACGACGTGGAGGTATACTTTGGCGTTGCCATATTTGGCAAACCCAGCTATGGTGTCGAGGGATAGTAGGTCAAAGGGTCCTTTGGCTTCTGGTGGTTGACCTAATTCCCCGTAAGCGGGTCCCATTGGACGCTTTGTCAACTGGCAGGTTGGACAGGTTTTAACCTTTCAGGTACTGTCTTTTGACATTCCCTGCCAATAATACTGAGCGGAGATGAGTCTCGTCATCTGTGATATGCCTGGGTGGTTGTATTGGGTGTGTACTGATTGAAGTAATTCGTTGATGAGTGTTTTTGGGATTATGATTTTGGTTACACCTTTGCGAGAAATGGTATGAAGTCCGTTGTGATCAATGGTCAGTTTAGAATCTCCAGATGGGGAAGGCTGATGGCTCTTAATGAGGGGGGCGTCTAAGAAGCCACAGAACGGGTTACGAGATATGATGTTCGCTTCATATTGTTGTGTTCCTTTTATGTAACTAACCTCATATTCGTATCTTGATATCCGTAATCTCCATCGAAATAATCTACATGACGGGTTTTTGATCGTCTTCAGCCATTGCAATGCGTGATGGTCAGAAAATATGGTAAATTTTCTGTCCATCAAATAGACGCGGAATTTATCCACACTCTCAACGATTGCTAAGCATTCTAATTCAGAGATGGAATAATTCCGTTCGTGTGAACGTAGAGAGCGGCTGAATATTGGACTGGGTAGGTTTTTCCATCAGGGTGGACCTGTTTGAGGACGCCTGCTATGCCGAGTGTTGATGCGTCACAGTACACTTGGCATGGCAGACCTTCCTGGTAAAGGTGTAAAGTGGGGTGTGTGGTGAGGCTTCCTTTCAGGCTAGTGAGCGCTTTCTGACATTTGTCATCCCAGACCCACGTGATATCCTTTTTGATAAGGTTGTTAAGTGGCGTCCGCAAGCGGGCGTAGTCCGGAATGAATTTTTTGTAAACGTTCACAGCGCTTAAGAAGGATCGCAATGTTTTGCGATTGTGTGGTGGTTGGATGTCGTGAATGGTTACTATGTTTCGTGTAAGTGGTGTGATTGTACCGGCAGTAATTGTGCAGGTGTCTTTGTGGTGTTTCTGTTGCCTTTTTATGCGAGTGTCGCGCTTGTCGTGAGGTACACGTGTGTGACGGTTGTGTGATGATGTGTGGTCACGTGTGTATTTAATGTGAGAGTTGTCCTGTTGGATGGACAATGTTTGGGCATTTTTGTTGCGAGTTTGGGCCATTGTGGCCTTGTACATTGAGGGCATATAATAAGAGCAATTGGCCCTGGTGAGAAAATTGTGTGTGTGGGCGTGACTAGATTGGCA